CCCCCCCCCCCCCCGAGGAAGATTCCTATTACTCAATTCTGTTAGAGGCTGAGTCTGCCCCAGGGCCATAGTGCAGCTGGAATAATTAGGTAAATTGAAAAAATTCAGTGACCTCATCCAGAATCAAACCCACGAGCTTCCAGCTTGTAGCATAGTGCTTCAACTATTCTATTGTGTGCCCCCAGAAATATATATATGATCATTTTTATCAATTTGCATTAGTTAAAGGTAGCCTCAATCTTGGATTTTACCTGCAAAAGGAATTTTCTGATATAGAAAAAATTGTGTTTAAAACATTTTTTTGTAAGTAATTTACTTAATAGATTATAAAGTTAATGTACACTGCATTAAGAGTGGAATCCTGTATAATCCTATATATTTACTTGTCTGTTATGAGTGATTGCAGTGATTTTATCATTACTTATGACTAACTAGTGAAAGACATGACATAGGAAAAGTAAGAATTATGATTTTGAAAATTTGTCATATGATCCCAGATAGCTTAGTCAACAAGGTGACTGAACAGCTAAATATGATTTTCTTTTTCACTTCCATCATCCAGACTGACATTGGGGCCCACCCAGTGGGTACTGGGACCTCTTACTATGGTGGTATAGTTGTTACTATGTGAAGCTGGCATCTCGAACAGATACTGAAGTTCAGAATTTATCGAGCTTCGCCCCTTGCTAACTGCACATTTTCATGACATTGTGTGTAGATGAAGTATTTGTGTAATTGAATTATTAGAATTTTCTTCCTTCCAGGTGGCTGGATAACACATTACTTGTCTAACAGTTCATTGGTAGATTCTTGTCGACTTTTGGATACTGTTAACTCCATTGTGTCGAAGTTACGTCAGACCCTGAACTATATTATGGATGAGGATTCCACTGATGGAAGGCAGCCAAGAAAAATGGTGGAAGTGTTGCTGCAGCATGTTTTGCCATACGTACAGTCTCAGTATTCCAACACTGTCACACAGCCTCCATTCCAAGTAGCAGACTTGGCTGCAAGTTTCACTCTTCTAGCACTGGAGCAGCCCAACTTCCAGACTCAGTCATTTGACCAACTATTTGGTTACTTTGTGACTTCAGAGAAAGTGAACATCAGGTTGATGAAGCGTTACTTGAGTCTTGTTCTGTTGGAGGATACTGTTATGAGGATTGTTATTGATCCATCGAAGAACTATGAAAGCATTGTCATCCAAGCATGGGTCAGGTATGGCAATATTTATTTAGTGTCTTATTTTCAGGATGTCGTGGTTTGTAAAGAATCACTTTAAATATTTTTTTATAACGTTGAACTAATTTTTAGTGCATATGAAATATTTTTGTGGTGAGTTAGTGAGTGTAGTATTTTGTTAGCTTTACGAATTTGAAAACCACAACTTATACAAGCTTTTTATAATTCAATTTTAAAGCTTTTATTTTGGTGTTTCTTGAATGTAAGTTTTGTACAATCTAGAAACCATGCCTGTTGTGTTTTGGCTTTATGCTTATCATGTATGTTTATGTTGTCATATTATTCTTCCTGATGTGGATATGGTGATCTGTGGATAAGATGCTAGTCTCAGGTGTAAGACCAACTGGACCCATTTGGGATATTTCGGTATTACTTCCTCATTCTTCCAGTCTTTTAAGTTAGAACTTTGTGAATTTGTGGAAAATCAGGCCTCCGAGATGGTTTAAACTCTCTGTTAACCCTATTGCTGTGATCAACTGAAATATAACAATCATCCATTACCACATCAAGAAATAGTCCTCCTTATGTTTCATTATTCACCATCATTCACAGGACTGTGAAAGTGCATTTTTGTTCTGCTTTTCTTTTCATGCTTTTTCTTTAAAATTGCATTATGTTAAGAAAATGGTGAGATGATACTATGTAGTGAAAGTGTTCACTGTAGGACTTTCCTGATGGCATTTTTCCCTGTGGATACTTGTACGACAAAAGTAGATTCCTTTATCCATGTCAGGCATGCAGAAGACAGAAGGCAAAAATACCATAATTTACTTATGGAGCTGAGCCCTTCTTGAGGAGAAGCCAAATCTGCAGCTACTCAAGAATTTCCCAGCATTTTATGGAACCTGAAAGTTCATTACAGTGTTCACAAGAGCCCTCCACTGGTCCCTATCTTGAGTCAGATCAATCCAATCCATACCATCTTATCCTATCTCTCTAAGATCAATTTTAATACAGGGTGATTCAGAAAGATGAACACAATTTCAATTGGCTATATTTCCTGAATTATATGTTGCATTTGAATTCTGTAAATTACGTTTGATTATACATATAAGGAAGTTTATGGATGTTCAATGTGCCCCACTCTGGCTGCACAGATAAAATTTAGATGGTAGCTGAATTCATCCCACACTTGATGACAAATATCTTGCATCACTGAGTTCACCGCAGCTGTGATACGCTTTCTAGGTCATTCAAATTTGTGGGAAGAGGTGGCACGTAAACTGCATCTTTCACGAATCCCCACAGGAAAAATTTGCAGTGTGTGAGATCAGGAGACCTCGGTGGCCAGAACTGAAGTGCCAGGTCTTCATTCCCTATGCGACATATCCATCGTTGAGGTAGAGATTCATTCAGGAAACGCTGAACATTCAGGTGCCAATGGGGTGGAGCTCCGTCCTGCTGGAAAATGTAATCTCCTGAATCTTCATTCATTTGAGGAACAAGCCAGTTTTGCAGCATTCTAAGATATGTAAGCGTGTTTTCATCAAAAAAGAAAGGTCCATAAACCTTTGTTAAAGCGGCCTCTGTAGTCTAGAGGTAACGTTCTCACCTCATGACTCGTAGTACACGGGTTCAAATACCCAGCGGAGGTCATCAAATTTTTAAGGGCGGAAAAATTCAGTGAACAAGTCCTCCGGGAGGGACTTTAAGCTGTGTGTCCTGTGTCATAACTTTACGGCATGTAAAAGAACCTCATACCCCCAAAGGGGATCACTGAGCCAAATTCCAGGAAGTTTCCCGCCCAACAAAAGTCTCTAAGGCCTCTGATAGATGGGGGAAGCATTATAGAGACCGCTAAGCAAGTGGCCGAACTCGCTTGCTTGGCGGGACTGATGGTACGCACCATTTATCGGTAGGGTATAGAAACTGGTAGAATATCATAGAGGGAAGCACAATAGATCAAACTGGTTGCGGTGCATGGGGAAACCCACCCTCTCTAAATAACTAACTAACTAACTAACTAACTAACCTTTGTTAATGATATTGCACAGAATACATTAACTCTTGGGCTGTCCCTCACATGTTCGTGTGTTACACAGGGATTTTGTAGCCCCCATATGCGAACATTGTGCCTGTTGACTTTCCCACTTAGGTGAAATGTAGCTTCATCGCTAAAAATTACACGAGGCAGAAACATGTTTACAGAAACACAGAAATATCTTCCATGTTTTTGAGCATATGGTCATAAAATTCTACATGCTTTACCTTATTGTTTGCGTGAAGAGCCTCTACCAGTTGTAGGTGGTATGGTTTGTACACTAACCGGCCCCTCAATACACGCCAGACAGTTGTTTGCAATAGTCCAAGTTCTGTACTAGCACTATGGGTTGACTTCATTGGGCTATGCTCAAAGCTCGAATGCGCTCCATGTTCTCCTCCGATACGCGTGATCGGCCCGGGCTTTTACCCTTACACAAATAGCCAGTTTCATCAAATTGTTTATTCCAACAATAAATGCTCTTCCTCGTTGGAGGTTGGATGTTAAACTTACGCTGAAATGCATGCCGCACCGCAGTCGCAGACTCACTTTTACCGAACTCAGAAATGCAAAAAATCTTTTGTTGCATAGTAGCCGTCTCGCTTACAACTGATGCAGTGCTGGAGTGCTCTAGCAGTAGTATTAGAAACTTTACAACATCCTCTTTCAAATGTACATTACAGAATTCAAATGCAACATACAGTTCAGGAAATATAGCCAATTGAAATTGTGTCCATCTTTCTGAATCACACTGTATTGTCCACCCACCTACGCCTTGGTCTTCCCAGTGGTCTCTTCTGGTTTTCCCACCAATATCGTATATGCATTCCTCTTTTCCCCATTCATGCTACATGCTCTGCCCACCTCATCCTCCATGACTTGATCTTTCTGATTATACTTGGAGAAGAGTACAAGTTATGAAGCTCCTCATTGTGCAGTTTTCTCCAACCCCCTGTCGGTCCTTTTCGGTCCAGATATTTTCCTCAACACCCTCTTCTCAAACACCCTCAGTCTATGTTCCTCCCTTAATGTCAGAGACAAAATTTCACCCCCATACAGAACCACAGACAAAATTATAGCTTTGTATGTTCTAATTTTTATGTTTTTGGACAGCAGACTAGAAGACAAAACGTTCACGTAATGGGTAGTCAAAAATAAAATCCTGTCATCCCTTTGAAATAAAAACGTTTACCAAATATAAGGTTATTACATCTATGGCCTCCTTCATTTGTGGCACTGCAGTCTAGCAGATGGGTAGCAATGTTTTGGAAGACTATTGTTTCTATCTTCAGTGTAGAAGTGGAGGCAGCACATGCCACAGAAACATTTCTAACCACCTACCAGATTACATGATACTATAACACAGAATACCACAATTTGAAGCATCACTGACATGAAAACTTAAAGTCTCATTTATTCCAGCTACTTTAATATAGCCTGCGACATAATCCAGTTTCCTTAGAAGAACTGTGCGCTAATTTAAATTATTTCTGACAGAGTTTAACTACAAAGCATATGTTGATATGAACAGAAAATTACTGAGAGCTATTTATGATTATTCTTTTAGGTGTTCTCTATTGTCTGTGAATGAAACATCAGAAGAATTGTCAGATTTGGCAAGAGCTATGGTCAGACTGCCTGTAATTAAGGATCTATGTCAGCCATCAGCAGTGTGTCTGGGAGATGCAGATGATCCTCTGTTTACATTTATCAAACTTGTGGGACTCAAATACAAGAGTCTTCAGGATATCCACAGGAAGTCACAATTCCATGAGAAGTGCCTCATTTACTTCATGCAGGTTGACAAGTGTGTGAGCTCTGTGGTCGGTTGTGCAACATCAAGCAGTGAGCTTGTTAGTAGGATCTATGTGTGTGCTGCATGCATGGTGTGTCACTGTGGGCAGATTTTGTATACCAAGGTGTGTATAGTGGGTAGCTTCCTTTCTGTATACATACATCTTCCCCCAAATACACATACTTAACTTCTGACCCAAAGAGGCAAGTTTCCATAAGATGTAGGTATGAATGTTGAACTATTGGAGACATTTCTGTTCTGTTAAAATATTTTAATCTTATTGGGATGGCTAGATATCTGGATTACATCGTTATTTTCATGGATCTGTGTGTTATTAGACTGCATTTATTTTAGGGTTCATATTCAAAATTGGTTTTTACTGAGTAGGTTGATGTGATCATATGCTGGTCCATGTTATTTATTGTGTTATTTAATGATGAAGAGTCTTAACGTGTATTACTGATTAAATAACCAGCTGCTTAATTATTTCATTTATGAATATACTAATCAGTGAATTGTTATACAGTTAGTGATTTTTCTGTATCACAGCAGGGGTATTTCATTTGTGAATGATACTAATCAGGGAATTGTTTTTCCGTTAGTGGCAGTTTTCTTGATCACAGCAGGAATATCTCATTTACTAATGATACTAATCAGTGACAGTGCTTTCATGATCACAGCAAGGCTACTGAGCTTGAACAAATATACAATATATTTTCATTTGTATGTTTTGCATCATGTTGTGTATGTCACTGCTATGTAAATATGTCCATCGATCACAATAATTTTATACTTTTAATAAATAACAATTTATGTATATTTTAAGTAATTTTAAGTATAAAATTGTTTTGATTGACATATTTGAATAATAACCAATAATCTATTGCAAGACAGCATTTCTGGGCCCTATATAGAGTGATGCTAATGTCTTTCTCGTGTGTATGAATATTTGATATTTTCACAGTTTTTGTTATTCCATGTTATAGTATTTGGAGAGATAAATATATTTAATGCAGAATTATATTGTAACCTAGCTGGAACCCCGGGGGTTCCAGCTAATAAAGTTGTGGTAAAATGTATTATCTAGTCCAGAAGTCTAAATATCTTGAATGATCCTTGTTTTGTCAGACAGTATTCCCATTTGTAAATGTTCAATGTATGTTTATTTTCAGTCAAAACCAAACTGCTTATTGCCATCACTTGTTAATCATCTACTTCTGCCACATGCCATCTACAGGCCAGAAACCCAGTTGCATCCCTTTATAGCATCTGCAATAAAAAAGACATTGCACCAGTTTATTTTTGGGATAGCCAAGTTGAACCCAAAACAAGATGTCTTCATAGCTCGGATATTAAGGGACATTGTAATTCAGTACTTACCGAGAATAGTGGCTAAAAGTGGGAACAGTGTAAATATTGAAGGAGCCTTTACAACTCATCCCCTTTTAAAGTGTTTTACGGAGTGTGAAAAACCAGAAATTTGGATATTGGTGTTGGAATCCTTGTCAGAAAAGTTCTTCACTTGCAGAGGAACTGTTCCACATGAACAAGCTGTATTGGTGAGTGATTTAATGTCATCTTGATTTTGTAAGCACTGTGCATTGACTAGGACAATTTGTAGTTATGTTTTATCGACTACCAAAGTCACATAGCAGATGAAAGATGTAGCTCTGATGAGTGGAGATGGAGTTAAGAGCCTCAAGGAAGTCAGTAGAAGTGATGTGTTTTAGTGTTTTGGAAGCCTAATAAAAACAGTAATCCTCAGTCTGGTTAGAGAGCTATAGGTTCTCAGACATAATACAATGAGTGTGTTCCAAGTGAAAATAGACTGTGTGAAGTATAGACTCTATTACTAATGTGAATTGTGTTTTTGGGTGATGGCACTTTGTAGAAGTTCACTGTATTGACAACATTACAGAGATCCCTGCTGTCTCCTTGATCAGGGTGAAAGTATTGTAACATGTTTGGAGTAGGTACTTCCATGGTAGCGCAATAACAGTGAGCTGTTGCATAGAGAATGCCGAAGCAACGAACGCGTCTCCCTGGAGATGAACTACAGAGAGTTTGTTACACCCGTTACATGACAACGTGACTGTCGAAATAGTAGCAAGGGAACCATGAGGAGTGATGTCTGGTATCCAGTCTGCATAACCCCTATATAAGCAGAGCTTACGACACGTAAAAATATAAGAGATTTGGCCACGAGAACAAGACAGTCTTGGGATAGCCGCCGCCAGAGACGGTTGAGATCCTGCCCCGGCCAAGGACAGTTGAGACGTCTCATTGAGTATTGGGCCAGAAGTCAAGTGATAATAATTGTAAGAGTGTCCAATAAAGATTCGCTAAATGCGAGACCCATGTGAAGTTATTTGTCGCGTGACATACCCAACATGTGACAGTATTTTACATTCAGGTTGGAGAGTGTAAGAATTTCTGAAGTATTGGCAGTACTCGCTACACCTGCACGGTTTCATCACCAAGAAACGTGTTTTCCCATATACTGCACAGCACAAAAATTAAACTGATTAATGCTGAAGAACTGTAACAAGGAAGCAGAGGCATTTATTGAGGAGATTATTGGAAACTGAGGCAAGATTGGGTTTACAAATGGCTCAGTTACTACTGTTACTCAGTGAGAACATGCATAGTATAAACTGAGATTCATATTAGAGACAGTTGTGTTATCTCTAGAACTAACAAACTTTATTTTTAAATCCTAGTGGGGTGGGACCAAGTCCCTTGTACTGTGGCCACTTCTGGCCTGTTGTACCAGCCCCAGATGATAGGTGAGAGTGATTGTGGAGCAATTGGTGGAATGAAGATTGGCAGGGGAAACCGAAGTACTCAGAGAAAACCTGCCCGAGTGTCACTTTGTGTACCACAAATCTCACTTGGCCCGACCCAGGATCGAACCCGGGCCACTGCGATGAGAAGCCAGCGACTAACCGCTTGAACTGTGGCACGACCTTATCTCTTGAACCTAATATAGTAAACTCTGATTTAAAGTTTTCCTTAATTTCACAATCTTCTGCTTTAGTCCTGGAAAAATGAGGTTACCTTAGATCCGCAGGACAGCAACACCTGCATAATTAGATACTGATTGTAGCATGGACAGACTAAATATCCAAGTTATGCCAGAACTTTATGAATCCACAAATTCTGATGCATCCAGTTTCAATACCAGCCTGGGATTAAAAAGGTAAAAGATAAAGCTATGACTATAAACAAGCCAACAAGAACCATAGGGTTGTGAGAGGTTGAGGCTCACAAATTTTCTGGGCATTTGGCTCACAGATGGCAGTGAGGTTGTCAGTCTTACGCACCAGCTGCTCTTTACCCCCAGGAAGATTCCTGGTATCCATTTCTGTTAGAGGATGAGTTGATCCTGGCAGCTGGAAGGATTAGGTGGATTGAAAAATCCAATGACCTCTTCAAAAATTGAACCTGCAACCTTCTAGCTTGTAGCATAGTGGCTCAACCAACTATGCTACCACGTTCCCCCAGCCTGGGATTATCTGTTGTGATTCTGATTTATCTCATAGTGTTATATAATCCCAACAGTTGGTACATCATTACGAAATAGCTACATGAACGTAGTTACTGATAGATCACTTTTTATTGTGAAGTAATTTTGAACACGTTCAGTTTCTTTTTTGGCTACACATGCAAGCAGAACAATGAAGCACTGGTCCAGTGATTGAGACGGTCACTTTTCAGCACACTCATTGGAGTACGAACCTTTCCTCTCTTACACCTGATGATGGAAATAGATCTGGTTTCCAAAACATTGTGTTGTGAAAAATGCAAGATGGTGGATGTTGTATAAAATAGTAGCTGTAGTTATTGTTACTGTTGTCCGAAACCTATAGATGTAAGTTTCAGTTTGTAATGCTTGGTGTAATGTTTCTTTGTTTTGTAGGCATTGGGATTTCTGATGGATGTAATCACTTCAAAGAAGTTTTGTGTGGACTTAGTGAAGGAAATTATTGATTGTTCACTATTGAAGATATTTGAGCTTGCAATGTTTGCAAGTGATGGACATATTGCCAGGCGTCAAGCTGTAGGATTTATAAGAGCAACAGTTAATATCGATGTGTTTAAGCAGAACATTGTTCTGAGGTTTGTAAATGTCTAACGGTGTTTGCAACTTGTACAACATACATTATTGACAGTTAATTCTTTTATAATTAGACAGTTTTTCAAATGTGGGCACATTTGTTCCATGTATATCATATCTTCCAGTTCAAGAACCGTTTCAGTTGTATCATGAAAGTTGGTACAGTTTGTAAAGATTACTATGCACTCGTTTCTTTTATTCCTTACCAACATAGTAAATGACCTATGGCACATAGAAGTCTGAAGCAGTTAATTTATGTATTATCAAAACATACCTTGTAATCAGAATTATTGTTGTGCAGGTAATGTGAATAAAGGTAAATGGTGTCAGTGCTATGATAGATACTAACTTGTGGTCCAGGAGTTTGAATACCTCAGTTAGTACAGCGACTGGCTGTGGGCTGGATAACGGGTTCAGTTTCCAGCCATTTACTCTGCAGCCCATCCATACTCCTATACAATTCGTGCTGGAAGCTTTTTCCCTTGTTCTGAAATATGATAAACCCCCCCCCAGTGCCAAGGTTAGGAATGCATGGAGCTATACCTTCTCTCCCCCATATATCTCTATGGTGTGGTGCTAGATGCAATACTGGAACTACTGTACCTGGAGTTATACAAGTCTTTGCCATAATGATGACATGTTGTTTGAATCACATGGGGCATGGTTATAAGAGTTCCAAAAAGGAATTGAAAAAATTCTTCAGTAGCACAAAGCTGATGAAGTGTGGTTCTCTAATTTTGATAACTGGGCATGGGGTTAACAGTGCCTCACTGTAAAGGCTACCCTGGTATGGAATCTTCCATTCTGATTTCATCTTTCTGAAATACTATGCATGAATTTTCAGTATTTGCTCTCACACAGAAAATTTTGTTTTCAGGGAATCATTTCTTTCTGTTTTTATGATGCTCTGCCACAAACATCTTGCATTTTCATCAGCATATGTATTTAGGCTGTCCACATGTTTGGCTGAGCTGTGTCCAGAGTTGATGGTGAAGTGTTTACCGCAACTTAAAGATCTGGTTAAGACAGTAGAACTGAAGAGAGGTGTTGGGTATGATCCAGGATTGAGGTTAGTTCATTTTAATTTATTTGCTGAAATATGAACCAAAACTTAGCTGTTGACTAACTAATTATATGGCACATCATCTTCCTAGAGCAGCAGATAATTACTCACCTAAGCAGTAAATTTCTTGTTCATCCTTATTATTAAAGCACCAATCAATAATGTAATAATATTTTCAAATATAAAAGACATCTAGAATGTGTTTCTCACTAAAAGTCTAACTTTAATACTTTATGGTGTTAACATCATAAAATGTCATTAAGATGCTAAAAGTATAACGTATACACTAAAAGTGATATCAGATTACTAAAATGTATCTAGATCTTCTTATGTTTCTTCTCTTTACAACATGTTTCGGTTGCACACGGGCCATCATCAGGCAATTTTTCTTTTGTTTTCGGGGAGACCACGAAAAAATACATTCTAAATGTCTTTTATATCCAGTCAGTATTGTTGCATTATTGACTGGTGCTTTAATAATAAGGATGATGCCTCAATGCAACAGGATGTTAATATATAATCTTGTTCATAACCATTCTCACACTGTACCCTGTGCTGCACCATTTCAACTCGGTGTTCATCTTTGTCTGAGGTTGTATTTTCCATGTGTATCATAGTAATAATTTTTACTTTCACACATACACGCACGCAATATTACATAGCATATGAGAAAGAATTGTAATGGTGAAAGAAGTCAGTCTTGAGGTTTGCAAGATTTACACATTCTAAGACCCCCTGAATATGAAATAGTGGTTTTTGGAAAGCAATCTGTTTATCTTTGTGTACGTGTGCCTTGCTAGCACCTGAATTGTTGAACAGATTTCATTCATGTTTGATATTTAAGAGTATCCATCACAGGTGAATGCCCATTGAATTTGAACATTCTAGTTCCAAAAGTTGGAGCCCATCAAATGGGCTCAGCTAACAAAATGGTGACTTTCTTGAAAATGACTCTGATGAATTTGATTACATTTCATTAGTGTATGGAGACCATTTCACTACATGAAACTCTATGTATGGAATCTTCAAGAAAGTCATGGTTGGCTCTCTGTATGAGAAAGTAGTGCAATATCTTTACATTACTTCTTTAAATATATTTTTTAGAGCAGCACTAAAATTTTAAAATAATTCATTGTCATAATGTATATTGCCTTCCATGGAAATGGATTCATTTCCATGTATAGTGCATGTTCTCTTGAAGCATCAAGTAGTTAACTCTTCACTGTGTGGTACTAAGTGGCAGAAAGGAAACAAATTCTAAAGGTGAAAAATAGTTTAATACATAGCGTTTTTGAGCATTTAAACCGTTTAAGGGCACTCATCATGTCAACCACTCTCATCCTTTTCTTCATTTACAGGAATGGCTTGGGAAAGCTTTCATCTCTTCTTGGGATACAAGAAACATGAAATGGATCTGCTGTAATAGCATGTGTTACATAAGTATCTTGGGAGAGATGCGTGCAAAAGGAAGATGTAAAGGATATAGTATCATCACCAGCATCATCATTACCACTACAGCCACCCTCATTAATGTTATTGCATAGATGTGGTTCTGCTAAAATGTCCAGTGATTGATTACTGTGTCTTTGCACTGTAAGTTTGTTATGCCTGATGCCTAGCAGGGAGTATTGTTGCATATTGGAGATAGATTGTGAAAATTATTGTTTTTAATTTCTGTCATTAAAGCCCAATGATGGACATCTGTGTTTATTTTTGAGTATGATGTTGTGAATATACTGCACACTTGTCTAGTTCTCAATGTATGCATTAAATTTCAGAGGTCAGTAAGAAGATCCAAGGTAGTGACCTTGAAATTTAATGCATGCATATGCAACAAATAAAATATGTATTTTTCATAGCAATTCTTTCCATTCTCTGTGTAGTTAAAAAGTAGCTTCTAATTGGTTTTCTCTTAGACTTTCTTCTAAGTATAGTATTACCATTATTTTATTTTTATACAGCTGTGAAATATGAGTCCAGGAATATTGTTGGCAGGGACTTACACAGACAAAACAAAAATACAACCTTGCAATATGTCATGTCATTATGTATGTTGTAAAGTCAGTTTACGTCATTTGCCTTGAGTAGTTAATTTTTTTGATCAACGTGTTAGTGAACTTTAATAGTATGCCTTTCTGAGTTACTGCAACTAATAACCTTCTACCAAGCCCTAACCTTGGGACCAATGGAGGAGAGTGGTGGTTTCTTGCTTGAGATTCTCTGCTTCTGGGGAAGGAGGCCCTAGTACACGTAGAAAATATAGCATAGGACCTGTGATGGGTCATAAAACTGTTCAAGAAGAGGTGGTGAAAGAGACAAGTTGCCAGAAATCAAATCTTCCCATCCAGTCCACAGCTGCCCAGTGTGGTGATTGATATGATGTTTGAAATTTACATTTAAAAATTTGAAACATTTATAAAAGTCTTCTGTCTGTATATTACTTAAGGTTCAGACAGGAAGATAGCTACGTGTATTTTTTCTGAACTGATTCATACTTGTGAAGTCATAGGTAGGAAATGTAGAATTTCTACGTACCATAACTGCAATAGCTGCAAATCTTGGAACAATACATTTTAAGGATTCTTTTCCCATAATGGCCTGAATAATGCAAGATAATCATAACAAATGTTACCCACTCTAAATATATAGCAAATATCTTAGAATATTAGGCATCTACAGAAATTGCATTTTCAGTTTTAGATGAGAATTTGGAAAAGAACTTGAAAATGGAGATCCTGGGTCAGTATTTATTACAAGGGTAAGTCAATAAGTAAGTTACAAATAGATATAGAACTTAAACAAATAAGAGTACTGATTTGAAAAATGCTTTTATTTCTCAACATAATCTCCCTGTACATTGAGGCACTTGTCCCATCATTTCACAAGCCCCTGAAAACCAGCACCATAAAATTCTTTGGGCTGCTGTTGGAACCAGACATGTTCACACAGCATGGCCTACCTCATAATGCATGACAGGTTAGGTTTTCACAAAGTCTGTACACGATGGGTGCCACACATGCTGACCCCACAACACAAAATGCAAAGAATGAGTCTGGCATTACAGCATCGCAATTGCTACCATGATGAAGGACACGATATGCTAGCCTGAATTGTCACAGGTGATGAGTCTTGGGTTCACCATTACTAGCCCCGAGACAAAGCGTGCGTCAGTGCAGGTGAAACATCCTGTGTCGCCTGCCAAAAAAAAAATTAAGGTGACACCATCCTCCAGGAAAGTGACGCTCACAGCCTTCTGGGATCACGAAGGCATACTGCTCACCTCATTCCAGCCTCAAGGACAAACCATAAATGCTGACTCCTACTGTAACATCCTCAGGAAACTTCGTAAGGCCATTCAACGGAAGCATGCAACTTGTCATGCTATAAAGTCTACGAAAATTCTGGTTGGAAAACTCAGAAGGAAGAGATCACTTAGGAGATGTGAACATTGATGCGACGATAATGCTGATAATGTGAATCAGTGGCAGGCTCTTATGAGTGCAGTAATGAACTTCTGAGTTTCCTACAAGGTCAAAACTTCTGTAGGAGATAATTAACTATTAGCTTGTACTCCACAGAATTGTTTTTTTTTCCAGGTTGTAATATTATTAAAGGGCCCTGTGTAGATTGGTTTAATAAGCCTTCTTTCATTTGTACAGTAGGGGAAGTATGTTAAAAGTTAGGGAAAAAAGAGCTGTAGGTGAGGCTGTGCTTGGCTCTTGTGTAATAATCAGCCCTTGATCTTGTGACCTTGGGCAGAACCCCTTTACCCTTCCCTCATCCCCCCCCAATTTGTTATTTAGTATCAGTCACAACTGTCTGTTGCAGCATACCAGTGATGTGTAACTGATTGCAATATAAATTTGCATATATATGTATTACCATATGACAGACCGGTTAATTGTATGGATGGGCCATTCACCCAAAGGAGCCACACCTATCTGCTCTATAGATGAAAGAGCAAAGTCAGTTATGCAATAACAACACTGGAAGGCAAAAACTTTCCAAGGTTAACTTGTGGAATGTACACTCCAGCCAAAAATTATGAGATTCATATTTTATAGAAGCTAGAGTAAGATTTTAAGTTTTATTATTCATTCTGTTTCAATTTATATGGTTGAGCTAAACTTTTCTGCATTACAGGTTTTGCTCTGTTAGGTGATCAAATCCATTGATCCCCAAAGAGACATTTAATGATAATAAAGCTGTAGTATTTGCTTTACTTTTCTCTTCCTTCTGAGTCTCCTCGTGACAAACAGAGTGTTTACTATGAATCTGAACTGGGTAGTGATTTGACTTGTCATAAGTGGGGAGATGATGAAGTGAAAGTAAAGAATATCTCGTTCCTTAAGCACCACACTGTAGAGGCATATGCAACATTGAAATATGGTCCAAAGTATCTTCACATGTTAGAGTGGGACTGCAGACAGAGTGTGGATTGGTAATTGGATTTATTGAACTCTTAAACAAATTGTGACCACAGTTTACTGACTCACCGACTGACTGATGAACTCTTCACTGACTGTCCTGCTTATAACATCTCAGTGTAGACTGTGCAGAAAACACTGTTCCTCTGTAGCAGTTTAATGGGCTGTTGTCTAGTTTGTTTCACATTTGTTGCCTAGTTAGGAGTCTACATGCAACATTGCCCCCACCTGAAAGATATTAGTCCTGAATAGCCAACATGCTAATACACCATTTCTTCTTTTTTGAGGACTGTGCTTGTAACGTCTGATCAGCCTTGCCTTCTTTCACCCTGGCTCAGTTCTCATGGCAGTTGCTCTCCAACTGCCCCTGCTGGTCCCTCTTTAAGGCTGCTTATCTCGAATGGTTACTTGATAAGATGTGAGTCAGTCCAGGTGTACTACCACCATCTTCAATCAATTCTGCTGTATTCTGTACACCACATTGTTTATCTGTGTGACTACCATGTATAGGTATTTCCATGATGGTTGGAAGTTGGGATGACTTTTATTGAGTCTGGGTTTGGTAATACAGCCACATTTGGTCACCCACCCTGCCAGTCGATCATAGCACACTTTAATTCCGTCGCTGTCTTTATTGTCACCGTTACCTTGCATCTTCCTCCTAGTGTTGACGTTTACCTGTTTCTTGCTATGTAGCCTTGGCACGTTCTGCATAGAAAACACCTCCCAACAGTTCTATTGTTCCATCACATAATTATCGCACAGACCGCATAGAGAACGCCATGCTCAAACAAAACAGCACACAAAGCTACACAAACAATAAAGGACACATTACACACAGTGAATATGCAAATACAATTAAAACTACAATTATATAAATTAATATTAATAAAAAATAAGCATACTACGCATTGAACAGTAACAATAATGAAACACATAATGTCATGCACTGATACACTCACATTTCACCATGACCCTCCCTTCATTCCCTCAGCACAATTTACTTCTCTTCACGTCACTTCACTTTCATATTCATATACATATACATATTTTTATTGGTTCCAGAAATCAACATTTTGCAATACAGCCTCCAGATATAGAACAAGTCAAATTATTTGTATGAAAGGCAACAATACTATAATATTTAACTACATGCACAAAACTACTTGGTTTAAAGGAGACAGTCCATAAAGCATCTGCAGGTAGTTTGTACCAGATCTGGATGGTCCTATTTACAAAGGAATATTTTCTGATATATGTCTTTGGTTTCTGTTCCTAGTTGGGATAGTGGCATTATTAATTTCTATGTCCAATAATCGCACAAGTTACGGAATCATAGCTTCCCCACCCAGTTTTAGAATTTCACCAGAAACGCTGGCTGGCCCTACTGATTTGTTTTTACCTATTGCTGCTAACCTTTTCCAAATGATTTTAGTACTAATGGTAAAAGGTTCACCTTAGTTAGCTCGCTCTATTTGTGGGATGGTACACTAAGGGCTGAGTACCAAATAATAATAGAAATTAGGGGAGTTAGACTTTTCTGTTGAGTCAGTAATTAGCTGTCCATTACCATCTTTGATCACAGACATAGTCAATGCTTTGGGAAGTATGGTATTTTTTAGTTTTTAGTGTGCTTTCATGGCTTCTTGATAGAGACATCAGATTTCCCATTCAGTCCAACACAGTGTTCAAAACAAAGATGCATTTTAGATGGGAGATACAGGGGATGCAGACAGTTCTTATTTGTGAAGATTTCTTGTGTTTTGGGAGACTTTGTGATGAGACTGCAGAAGAATCTGTGGCAAAACTGATATCCAGCTGTGTTTGTTTTCGTTCTTAGGAGTGGAATGAGATGGGTGAACATGACAGGACACTGTTACTGAGGGGTGTTTGGATGTAAAGGAGCTACTGTGGCCTTGCCAAGCCAATTTGTTTTGAGTAATGTGCTTGGCTTCCAAGAACTTGTTTTGTTCTGATCTTTATAAGGATATTTTTATGTTTTGTAGTTATGAGACCTTGAAGATATTCATCTGTGCAATTTCAGTTGAGGAAGGAGGCTCCACTGTTGGATCTAAACTGGTAAGCCAACAAATAAATGTTGTGTCTGGGCCTTCCGCTAATTGAGGTTCAAGACCCAGAGCATGTGAGAGAACATGTTTTCTTTCTGCATCAGTTTCTTCATTGTTTTCTTGTTATAAATATCTTCACTTACAAATAACCTTGAAAAAATAACATATCACTGTTGCGTAAAAAAGCTGAAGGTATGTTAAACCAGATGAAAAATCTGTGGACGTAATCAATTTAATGTTAAATACAAGGTATTGAACTGGTGTGGGTGTATTTGATAAATGACGGAGTTGGAGTGGCCAGAGCATGTATGAAGATTTACATTGTCAGGATAAAGAATTGGTGGGGAGAGAAGAAAGAAAACCGAAAGGTTAAAAATGTATAATGAAAAGATGGAATTTCTTCTGCATAGAAGACAGTCCTCAATGAGAAAATTGCCCACACACAAAAAGGATTTTACATTCTGTATTTTGTTGCCTGTAATATAAATTACTGTTACATTAATTGTTCTGTTGTTGTGGAATGCGAAGAGTTGATAATTGTTATTAACATTAATATTGGCTACAAAAATGTTTACTTTAAGATACATACTTTAGCAAAAGGTTGTTGTGGAGAGATTCAGTTTTGTGAAGTTAAACAATGTGAAGGCCAAAGAACAGCATGAGATTAGGACCTAAAACAAGTTTGCAGCTTTTGAAAGGTAAAAGTAAAGGGCGGCTAGTGTGTAAGGCTAACATCCTTATCACCATCTATGAGCCGATTGTGTAGAGAAAATATGGGAGCCTTGACATCTCACAACCCTATGGGCCTTCACAACTTGTTACAGGGATTGTTTTTTAGTGCTGTACACTACATATTTATTTTGAAGGCACATATGGCGACAGATTTACTCTTAATACTCCATAGGCTTTGTACTGAGAATAGCTGCTGACAGATATAATGCTTCACTAAGAAATTATCATCAAAACAAGAACCATTAGACAGTTGAACTGCATAGAATTTAGATTCATCTTGTCTTAACTACATTTTGTGCAATACTTATTTCTTTGGCTGCCCAGCCACAGTTCTTGTCTCCGTGGATAATCTGGAGGATCCTGTTTAGATCCCCATAATATTTGTTGCTTCTCTGAGAGATGAGATTCAAGCATGAACTCAGTTGCATCTTTGTTTCTTTGGTTTGTACATTCCTATACTTCTGAAGAAATTTCTTAAAGTTTACTTTTTGTTTCATACTCAAAATCTTGTTGACAGAAATGCACTGAACTGTACATATTTTGATTACCATTTGATCATTTCCCCTCAAATTAAGAGCTAGAGGTGATGTGTGATCTACATCAGTACTCAGGTGTTCCTGTATGGAAATGTCTAATATCATGATGGGGCAGAAATCATTAACCATGGTGTGTTAAAATGAATCTTAAGTTTGAGAGATATGGATTGGCTCAGGACAGGGTCTACTGGTAACCTTTTGTGACCATTAAGAAGAACCTAATCAGTTGCATAACTAGTATATTTGAATGTCTAAAAATTATTTATTGTTCAAGGAAGTCATATACCAGGAAGTTGGTTCTAAAGGGTTGTGATGATGGTGTATAAAACTCAGAATTACTAAAGGTCTAAAAACCCAGTAATTCTGAATACCTGGGAGTTGATTGACAGTACTAGGTGACAAGCATGTATTTTGAAATTCTTGTAATTTAGCTATTTTCATTTTCATTCCAGTTGTTTTGTGTCTGTAATCCATTGATAATAAATATAACAAGTTATTTGGAATGGAATGGTAAATTGGTAACAAATATTTTGATTAACCCTGTATTATCTCATTCACAGAAGTTATAAAGATGGTGGAGTTAGCAGAAAAAAGAATGACTAGTAATCTGTGGGAACATGCTTGTTCCACCCACATGCTGATGTAGGATTATAGCTATGAGCTGTGTTTTATTTCTGGGAACAAAATCCCAGAGGTACCTTACAAATTTCCCATATCCTTTACACCTTTAATATTCTTCATAAGGAAAACACTAATGCAAATTAAATCAGCATTTTATGAAATTATTGTAATCATAAAATCCCCCCCCCCTTTAAAGAAGTTACTTCCAGCCAGTTCTGATACATTCTTTGTTTTTCCCATAAAGATCTGTACAAAAGGGTTGGAAATTTTCGTTGTGTTAGGTACACTCTTTCTTTGTGTTTCAGATGTTCAAATTTCACGAGTTGGATTAAGGGCATATGTCCCTACTGAAAGTGTAGTGGTATTCTTCAGTACCTTCAGAGCAAGGCTGTTGTTGAGGGAGGATGATAATTTGCCCTATTACTTCTGATAAAGACAGTGCTATGAAGCTCTGGTTTAGTCAAAGGGCAAGGGGGTACAGTGCCCCGTAAAGTATTATCTTAACAGATTTTTAAACCAGTATTATGAAGAAATATTCTTTATTATATGTCTGCTATCAGAGCTGAAAACAAATAGGGATCTTGGAAAATAATGCAATGCCAGATTTTGATGAAGTGGAAACAGAAGCACTATGTAACTTTTAATATGCATTCTTCATAAAATAAGCTAATAAGCAGTTAAAATTAAGCCAAATAAAGCTTCCAATTATGGTTATACTATGTCTACCTTATATCTTAATAATTAATATTAATGTATTTTGTTAGTTTAAACTTATTTAATTATACATTCAAAAGTTATGGTCAAACACTAAAATTCAGTAGTTATCATTTCAGCTTTATATTTTATTCACATTTAAAGAAGGAGAGTATATTAAAATATAGCTACAATTTTTATTTCCAACTTAATTTTATTGTACAATGCCTTTTCTTTTGTGATTTTTTACAATGTGGACAGATTGGAAGATGGGACTTGACATAGTAGACCATTATTCCTTTCTCACACATCCTCAAATTGTAATCCATAAATCTTCACTATTTCTGAAGCTGTATGATTGTGTAGTTGATATATTAAATTAGTAGATATTTCCATAACCTCCTCCTCCCTGAAAATCTCATATAATAATAATTTATAATGCAAGTACCAAAAATATGAAAGAAGAATTGTGTACAAATTAGCAAATGAAAGCACTGCTCGCTTTGTAAAATAGAGCACAGAGCCAATTTGATGTGTTTAGCTTAGCAGAAGAATTTATCACTTAGAATCACTCTTCAATTTTGAGGCAATAAGTGAAGGTTAGTACTATCTTATTCTGACTCCTTCATTTGATTTTTAATATTATATTTTCTGTTTTCTAACCAGTTTCCTCTCTGTTCATGCATAAAATTTTGATATTTTATAGTATAACAGTCTTCAACCTTTACTGCTTGGAATTTTGAAGGATATTACTTCCTGTGTGTTTGTCTAGTTATTCTTTGAGTGTCATGTCTTCCAATATAGTCTTACACTGCAGCACTGAATCAGAAGCATTTCTTAGTAGTGATGAGTCTGTATCAAAGTATGAGTAATTATTTAAATCCTCACCCCACAAATAACTGTACAACACTAACCACTAACATGCATTGCACAATATGGCCAATTATTGGATTCACTTTCACAGGTTCTCTGTCTCTATCTTCCCAGTTTTCTTTTTGGGTTTTAGTAAATGGATGCTCTGTCTCTGTCTACCTGTTAGTTGAAGTGGAAAGACCGGGTGGCCCAGCTGGTTAGATGCTGCAGCCTCTTCACTGCATCAGCATGTGTCTACTCTGGCTCATGATCCTGCTCTCTGTGGAGTGTGCTGGTAGGGCTTCATGATCACCATCACCATATTATTATTATTATTATTATTTTGTTGGTATTTTGTATTTAAGGCAGCTTTAGTAGTAATTCTTTTTTAAAATCAATAATAATCTTTAACTTTTGTTTACAATAATTCTACTTTTGTTTTCAGACCTCTTTTGAGATTCTGAAATGTAACTTAATTTTGTTATCTACTTCTTAGTTTTCCTACATTCCTTTTTCTCTATGACTACATTCTCTTTTCTTACATTGTTTTACTTTCTTGTTTTTAAATGATCATTTTTATTTTGTCAATTAGTTTGCAGCTTGTAGCCAACTGCTCTGTTTTGTACTTTCATGGCGTGACTTCCAACTGGGACCAAACAATTTCATGTTTGCCTTTTCTTTATGTTGTCACTTACAGCTACAATTATTATTGCATTTATTCTTCATGATTTAATTTTTTTCAGTAAATTTATGCTATTGGTTATATGAGTAATTGGATTTGTATCACTGATGTCTCTCTTCTGTTTATGCTTTTAGGTATTTTATTTCCTTGACAGACTTTGACATGGGTCCTGAATGTGGACTAGTATCTTTGATTATATTGTCATTAGATTGCTCATCACCATATCCATTGCTACCACTATTATGGTTAATGTTATCCAAGTTATAATATGAGCTCCACTTTCAGTTGAATATACAGATGGCCAAGTAATTGGATCATGGCGTCCAACGACAAATTATGCATCCATTCGGCTTGTTCAATGCCCCAGAACGAGAGGACAGTTATGGTCCTGTGTGCCAGTGACCTTCTGTGGCTCTCTGGAGACAAGGTCCAGCAGACATTACTGTTATTGGGACTTCACAGAACCATTTGTCTGCTGTCCTCAGCAGGTTTTGTCACAACCTCTCATACGAAAGAGTGAGTTCTTAATTCATTGTGGCTGATCAGTGGTACCATTAATTTAACTAACTCCAAAGAACAGAGTCCTTTCAAAGATGCTAATAGTCACTTGACAGGTGATTAAATTCTCCACCTTATATGTAACCTGAAGATTCATTACTTTTTTCACAAATCCTGCCATTGGACCCCTTCCGAAGCCACATGAACACAATTAACACTCTCGTGTTCTGCTTCTTTAAGATCCATTTTAATATTGCCTTACAATCTACTCATAGATCTACCAAGTCTTCTCCTGAGGCTTTGCAAGTAAAATTATATATCCTTTTCTCATTGCCCACGTGTGTGCTACATGACTAATTTGTCTTATTCTCCATTACATGATTTATGCTAACCGTCTTACAGTGCACACACTTTTTCACCTTACTCTTCTCTTTTGCACTACATGTTTCAGCAGTAATGTGCAGTCTTCAGGTGTGTTTTCTCTATGCACGTCTAACTACTGCATTGCATGCCCTGATGTCTTCATACTAAAATGACTAAAATATATATTCGTCATGTATAATAGTAGATTTCAAATATTAAAACTTTTCAGGATTCGTCATCTCCTTACATCATATCTCAACACGCGAATCACGCCAATCCTCCTCTGTCGGAGCACTCTTCCTACATTCATGTTTGCATTGTGCTCTTTGTTGTGTCTTGCTCCTGTGACTGTGTGCGTTATAATGCAAGACACAACAAAGAGCACAATACACACATGAATGTAGGAAGAGTGCTCTGACAGAGGAGGATTGGCGTGATTTGCCTGTTGAGATACGACGTAAGGAGATGACGAATCCTGAAAAGTTTTAATATTTAAAATCTATTATTATACATGACGAATATATATTTTAGTCATTTTAGTATGAAGACATCAGGGCATGCAATGCAGTAGTTAGACGTGCACAGAGAAAATGCACCTGAAGATGGCACATTAGTGCTGAAACATGTAGTGCAAAAGAGAAGAGTAAGGTGAAAAAGTGTGTGCACTGTAAGACAGCATAAATCATGGACATGAGTCAGTGCAACAGGATGAGAAAATATAACCTTATTCTCCTTGATTAGACATCCCTAACAATATTTTGTGAAGAGTACAAATTATAAAGCTCCCCATTTTGCATTTATCTCTAGCATCCTGTTACTTCTTTCCCCTCAGGTCTGCCTATTCTTCTCAGCACTTACGTGTAGATCTCAGTTACCTTCTGCCAAGATTCATCTTTTAATGTGAGAGACAAAAATTCCAGGAAAATTTTGAAATAGAGTCATATATTTTAATCTTTACATTTGGATAGGAAACACGAAAGAAAAATTCTGAATGATAGCAAGCATTCCATATGTGTGATATGCTATTAATTTTTTTGTGAATCCATTTCTGATTTGTTGGCATCATTCCCAGGCGTTTTAAACTTGCCAGTCTTATAATGAGTTTGTTACTTATCCTTATACCTTGATTCTGTTGTTCATAGTGGTCATGAGATATAAATATGTATTCTACTTTTCAGAACAATTAGACAGGAAATGCTCATGTGATGATAATGATTGTACCAAGGTGGATCTTAATAAGATCTAAAAGTCTGTGACAATGGTGCATTAGTAGAAATATTATGTTTTTGGACATTATCCATTGACTTGTCTTTATCTAAAAACTGTCCTGTTTATTTTTCAAAACACAACGTTTTGGAGCCTGAATTCTGTCTCCGTCTTCAGGTAAAACCTACTCGGGCCCAATCGACAGAGCTAGTCCTTTTCTCCGGACCAAAGAGGGCGGCTTTTAGATAAAGACAAGATGATGGATAATGTCCAAAAACATTATATTTGTAAAATGGATCTTAAGTTAGAGTAGATACAGTCAGGGATTTTCCTACACACAAAAGGGTTTTATTTATGCTTCACAAATACTCTCATAAAATATCATTTACAAAGTTATATGGGGACATAGTACGTTAACAAGAAAGGGGAAAACTTACATTAAATAAATGCTTGCCACTATTCACTTCAGAGTCTTATTTTCCTATATCTTGTTTAAAATTTAAAGATTAAAATACAGCATAACAAACTGTGATTTTATTTCTTGTTTTGTATGGGAGTGAAATTTTGTCTCTCATTTGAAGTGAAGAACGTGCCTTGAGGGTTTCTGAGAACAATTGCTCTCCTAGAGGTTTTCAGGAGGTGCTAGGTTTGAGTCTCAGCGGAGACACTAATTATCCTGATTGAGGGTTTTTATGGTTTTCCTCAGTTCCTCCAGGGAAATTCTGGGATAGTACCTCAATTTGGTCATGATTACTTTCTTCCATATCTTCACTAATTTCCTGTCCATTGATCAGTCCTATCATCCAACACCATATAATTTCCGTACTGAAAGTGTCATTAAACAGCCCACTAGAACAATTGCCAAGGAGAATATTTAGAACCAAGGCAGTGAAAAGAAGGTGGAGAAAAGCATACATTATGAATGTTCATAATTAGTACGTACTCTTCAAAAATATTATTTTGGTGATCAAATAAAGGAGAATGAAGTGGGCAGGGTATGTAGCACGCATAAGAGAGATGAAAAATGCATGCGTAATTTTAGTCAGGAAACTTAAAATGAAAAGAACCCTTGGGAGACCTGGGAGTATATGTGCATATAGTAGTAAGAATTGATCTTTCAGAAACAGGGTATGAGTGTATAAGCTGGATTCCAATGACAAAATATAGGGTTCATTGGCGTGCTTTAGTGAACATGGTAATCGGTCTTTGGGTTCCGTGAAATCAAAGAAGTTCTTATCAAGCTTAATAGCCATCAGCTCTTCAAAAAGGACTCTGCACCACGGAGTTATTTTCTTTATTTTTATTTATTTAATGACATCATTCATAACTCCAACTATGTAGCATTGAATAATTGGGTTATATTGAATAATGAATTGGAAAGATGTGGAAGGTGGAGGTTATGGCTTAAGGCATGTCCCAGGATTTCCTGGAGCGACTGAAGGAAGCCACAAAAATGTCAGGATAGTCATTCTCCTGGCAAGATTTGAAAAGAGAACCTTCTGAGTACAAGGTAAAGTGTTAGAGCCTGAACAAATTTTCTCAGTATCATTTAGTTACTTAATCTTAATTTCATGCATCCTGCTGTGCTACAATATACAGCTCTTTAATGAACCATCACAACACAACAAATAGTAAAACATTAAAGTCAGCGTTCAGCTGTGGCTTTGCTACATGTTTCGGCCATTATCGACCATCATCAGGCAAATACATATCACCAAAAATCTACCATTTAACTGCAATCATAAAATGGATATAACACTATAAATCGTACAAATTTAAAAATGCTTATGTAAAAAATACAAAAGTTCAGATTATATAAAAATTAAAAATTGGAAGTATTATAACAAGATAAAATATTAATGATGTTGTTTGCTTTCCATGCAATACGGACAATTCTTCTTAATGACGAGGCAGCATTACACAATTCATTAATTGCTACACCATGGGCCTCTCTTAAAATCTTCTATATAATGTAATATCGAATTTCCCTATTGTCTATGGAAACGCACACTAAGTATATCCAACGACTGATTCAATGTTTTTGAAAACATCATTAATATTTTATCTTGTTATAATACTTCCAATTTTTAATTTTTATATAATCTGAACTTTTATATTTTTTACATAAGCATTTTTAAATTTGTATGATTTATAGTGTTATATCCATTTTATGATTGCAGTTAAATGGTAGATTTTTGTTGATATGTATTTGCCTGATGATGGCCAATGGTGGCCGAAACATGTAGCAAAGCCACAGCTGAACTCTGACTTTGATGTTTTACTATTTGCTGTGTTGTGACGGTTCATTAAAGAGTTGTATTTAGTTACTTAGTTTATGTATATAGAAAGTGTCTAAAAATTCCAGGAAGTGGTTTCCAAAACATGCTTTAAAAGTCACCTTTTTTGATCACTTAATATTAGTGTCATTGACAACACATCCTTTCAGCGTTAATGTCTTTACCATCTGGTTGAATGTATGGCCTTATTGCAACAATTAAGGTTGTGAAGAGTACTGTGTTAATGCCATGTGGTCTGTTTCAAGTCAACCAATGTTTTGGAGGAACATGTTGCCTTCATCATCGGAGTTATTCTTGCCATCTACTTTATTGCTCAGCTCATTCTTCGATCCTGAAGATGGAGTCGACTGTTCCTCTGAAATGTCGGTTGACTATCAATGGATTATACAGTGTTATGTCCTAGGAGATACTACTCTTCATAACCACTGCTGTGAGAACCTCAAATACTATAACTAAGGCTGTTCTTTTAGTTTTTTATACACAGATCAAGTATCTTACAGGATGTGGACTGCTGTATACTGCTGATAGAGAGGGACCTTATATTCTGCGTGATCAGATATTAGGGGCTGCTGTTGGTGGAATCCCACTCCGAACGGCCACCAGTTCCCCTTGGATGGTGGCAGTTGGTGAGCAGCAGGAGGATGGTTCATTAGATTGGTACTGTGGTGGGGCTCTCCTCGAGGCGGACGTAGTTCTGACAGCAGCTCACTGTTGCACTCGCAGGTGAGGCAGGTTACTCTTCCCCAATGCTCCAGGCATTCTTCAAGGTGGGAGGTAAAAGCTGTTTGTAGATCTAAGTGTTGCATTATGAAGACATGTAAGGGGTTCCACATAGTATTAATCTTGGAATGAGGTAGATCTGGCATATTATTTTACCTACTTTCATCATTGAAAGTTGGAAGTGTGCTAGATGTACTGTAGAACAGCTGTGGATATACTAATAAGGATAAAAGTGTTTGCTAAATTATAGGCCCGTCCTTTTGTGATATTAGTATGTAACTACCATCAATTTATTAATGTACTTATTAATAATTTAAAGATACATATTTCATTAACACATTAGTAATGGCTAAGTCCCAGGTTTCTGTAAATGTTGTTCATGTAAGGGACCTGGGTTTTTCCTCACTGAATACAGAAAATGCCAGTTATGAGTTCTGTCGAGAATAGCCTTCCATCTTGCCTACAAGTCTCAATATTATTACAGTTTTTTCCAATTATTTTTCAGGTCTCCAGATGTTGTACGAGTAGGAGAACTGGATTTTTCTATACCAGATGAAGATGATGCCAGACCAGAGGATGTAACAGTGGATAAAATACACATCCATCCCAACTATAAGCCTCCAAAATATTACAATGACATTGCAATACTAAAGTTATCTCGGCATGTAGAGTATAATCGTTATGTAAGACCAATCTGTTTGCCTGAGCCAGACTGGAGGAAGACTTTTGCTGGAACACCTGCTGTCCTCACAGGTTGGGGCTATCTGTCTTTTGGTGAGTGTGAAACATGCTTTGTTACTGCAGTTATCTTGTGTTTTGTTCATAATTTCTGTCACATGATGGAAATATATCTATTGTGTACCTAAAGCCTATTCACTAGACCAAGGGTCTCCAAACTACGGCCCGCGGGCCACATCCGGCCTGCGAAAGAATTGTGCAGAAATGTGCCAATTGAACTAATTTTCCAATGATTACTGGTAAAAAAATACTTGTTCATAGATTTCAAATTCATTAATTAAGATTGTGTTTAAAATATATTGATATTCCATATTATGTTAATATTAATATTATTCACAATTTTACTAATTCTGGACCGTATACTGCGCGGTTTTTCTTCGTGCTTGTTCGGCCTCGATCGGCAGTGTCACTTCGTGGCAATATAGGTAGCGTGAGCAGTTTATTAGTAGCCGTCTTGTGCACAAGACTTCTTGCAGTGGTGCAGTGTAGTTGTAACAGATCATAATCACCGCCGGTGTCGTACTTATTACCATTTTTGTATTAAAGGCAACTTATGCCCAGTTTTGCTCTAACTGTTCCGAGAATTGGTAGCGAGGAATGTTGTTAGTCCATTCTATGACAGCCGGCGTGGTACGGCTATCGGTTACCCCTCCCAGCCAACAAAGGATGTTTCCAGAACGTTTCCTAGAGTTATTAATTTCTCATTTTATCAGGCCCATTGAAAGTGCTGAATTACCTAATATGGCCCGCGTTTCGAACAGTTTGGAGACCCCTGCACTAGACTATTGTATCTCAAGAATTATCTGGGGTCTCTGGTGTAGCTTCAAAATTGAGACTAAAACCAAATTTTATTTTTGTTCCTTTGACATTTCCATTCCTATATGTGTCTTCCTGAAGTCTGACCCCAGAGGATGGAGATAATGTTCAAGCAGGGAAGAGCTTGTTAATGCAGACTACATAAGGACAATGCCCCTGACACCATCAAGGTGGCTGTGAAGGTTTGACAGGAATCCTGAAAATGGGCCTCTAATGCGACTACAGTGAAGCTGTGGCAGGCCTAGCAAGCTAATAGTGGATTTCTAAACTGCTTTCAACAAACAGTTATTAAACCAATTAAACAAGGGACTGTTTACTAAATAAAAGACATTTGAATATTAACTATTATGTTAAAAGTTCCACAAATAAATTATTATGGACAATAATAACATTTTCATAAAATGAAATTAGATAATAT